TTATTTATTTTTTCTTTTTTTGTCTTTTTTCGTGACTGGCAACGGGATCGCAACCCTCGGTGTCGTGCCCGCACTGCGCTCAACCAGTGAGCAGACCAGTCTCTATATGGGATCCGAACCCTCAGCAGGAGCACTGCCGCGCTCCCAAGTGCCGCACTCTACCGAGCGCACCACCGGGCCGGCCCTAATTGTACCTTTTAATTGGGTCAGGGATCCTTTCTGCAACTAGGACTGGCATAGAGGGCCTTGCTACTGTCTCTCAATTCTATCAAAAACTCTCAGAAGAACTAAGTATAGATAGCATCTCCTCCCTCCAGTGACAGGTCGCCTCACTTGCAACAGTAGCTTTACAGAACCATGGGCTCTTTACTTCCTTACAGCTGAGAAGGAAGGCACCTGCCTCTTCTTGTGGGAGGAATGCTGTCATTACATAAATGAGTCCAGGGTGATCCAAGACAACTTAAACCATTTAAAGGCAAGCATTGATCGCCGATGCAAAGGGTTACAAAACACACACACACCTGGGGGTGGCCCCAGTCACTGAACCATTGGATACCCTGGCTTATGCCCCCACTAGGACCCCTAACTGTGCTGGGACTCAGTTTACATTTTGGTTCCTGTTTCTTTTTGTGTTTTTCTAATTTTTTACAGGAATGTATGCAGGCTTTCACCAACCAAAAGGTCGCTGAATTGTTCCCGCGAGGATATCAGCCCCTCAGAATTAGCGACCCCTCCCTGGAGGAATACAGCCTCCCCACACGAAACCAATACCCTGCCATCTAATTGTTTTACCCACCATCATAAATCTTTATTTTTTCATATCTTTGCCCATCTCCAGCAGGAAGTAGCTTCAGAAGAGNAGGCTTTCACCAACCAAAAGGTCGCTGAATTGTTCCCGCGAGGATATCAGCCCCTCAGAATCAGCGACCCTTCCCTGGAGGAATACAGCCTCCCCACATGAAACCAATACCCTGCCATCTAATTGTTTTACCCACCGTCATAAATCTTTATTTTTTCATATCTTTGCCCATCTCCAGCAGGAAGTAGCTTCAGAAGAGAGAGGCCTTTGTCCCTTTTCCCTTCTTATACTTAAAAGGTGGGAATGATGGATTTTGGACGTGACTGGAGCCATTGTGCACACAATAAGCACAAAATAGCTGCCAGCCTTGTCTCCCACTCCAGCACCAAACCCCTGCCCACTTTCGTTTATGAGAAGCCTCCTGTCTTAAACAGAAACCCTTTTGCTTCTGCAAGGGCACAATTCTCCACCCTGGTTGCATAGTTTCCACATTAGCATATTGCCCCTCCTTGATAGTATCAGCCAGCCCTTGGCACACTATATAAGCTCTACCACCCCCACACCTGGTGCTGTCCCCCATTTTGAGGGCAGCCCTGGGCTGCCTCCCACTTTGGGCGCAGCCCGGCAGATTCTTTTCCTTTAATAAAGCTTGGATGGTCCCCAGCATCCTGTCTCACATTCTTTCAATTTCACCTAAAGAGCACGCACCCACCCAAATTATATGAGTTTCAGAACCTATAAAACCAGGTTCTACCCCTCTCTGTGTGGCTCCAGAGAGCAAATCAAGACCTAGGAAAGAGGTGGAAATCTAGGGTGAGGATATTAGGTCAATAAAGGGAAATCTTTCCGTGGACCAAGACGATTCCACCAAGAGGTGGGTTGCTGTGGTAGGCACCCTCTATTGCTACCCCCATTCTTCCTGGCAACATCTCCTCTTTCCTGCTAATAGAACTTGGATTTGTTTTAAAACTTAATTGGGAGCCCTTGATCTCAGAAACAGCAGGCCCTTTCCCAAGCCCCAAAGGTGAATTCTGATTGGTTTAAGCCAGTATGGTATTCTCTTTCCCTATGGATAATAATTGGTCTAAGTAAGGACAGGTATTCTAGCTCTGGCCAGAGACGGGGATGGTGGGACTTCCTTCCCTGAATTGAAAGACAAGGCTTCAGGAAAAGCAGTTATTTTCTCCTTTCCCTTTCATTCCTGAAACTCAGGGGAGCTGGAAATACAGCAGCCATTTTGTGACTAGGAGACTACAGGCTTAAAAACTAAACTCAACATGCTAAGGGTGGCAGAGCAGAAACAATAAAAGAGTTTAGGATCCTTACAGCTTTGTTGAGGAGTTGAACCAATACTAACAGCCATCTACCTCTAGATTACTATGGTAGAAAAACTCCTTTGTTAAAGCCACAGTTAATTGAATTCTATTATTTGCAACCAAATGCATTTTTACTTAATACCACTGTGTTTGAGGTGAGGAACATCTCTGCCTCTGGTGGGAGTCAATTCATGGGCTAATTTACCTCAAAATGGGGATGTTGCCAAGGTTATTTATGTCTGGGAGGGAGGATTTGGGGAGGTGATGCATTGTTATTAGGAATAATCTTACATAATTACAGCACAAACAGCTTCCTATGACTTGGGTCTTTAGGTTACATCCTCCCTCTCCCATTTCTTCATATTTCCTTCAGCCGCTGACCACCTTTCTCCACCTATTTCTCTTACCTCATCCATAGCCTCCTTCAACCCCACCCTTGAGAGGAGATTGAGCAGAAAGGGAGAAGAGGACATTATTTCTCCAAACTGACATGTTATCCAACAATTTAGAATGAGATAGGTTTATATATATTAACAGAATATGATTCCATTACTGATCAGTAAACAGATAAATTACTTATAACTTTTCAAATGTGTAAACACCATGTACTTGGCTGGAGACAGCCTGGACAGGCTGAGGGGATGGCACTCAACACTCTGCAGTTTTCAAACTGGGTCGTCAGACTCCTGGGGAGAATGAAGGCTTTCCAAGGAGTACGTGGCCCAGGTGGTATTTTTAAAACAGACCAGCTTCAACTCTTATTTCATCTACACCTCCACCACTTCCCCTCTTCCCATATCATCGTTGCTTTTTTATTGAGATAAAGATGCAAAGATGACCACTAGCAATGCCTGTCATCCCTGTACGCCCGAGGTGCTCCTCATGAAGAGGTGAGGAAGGCATTCTACAATTAGGTTGTGGTGGTGGTTGTACAACTCTGTGAAAATATTTAATGGTATGGGAGTGTACACTCCAAATGGGTGAATTACATCTCAATAAAGCTGTTTTTTAAAAAAGTGGAGAAGTAACAGCCAACTGCTAAAATAAATTAAAAAGAAAAAAAAGTGAAGAAAAATTCCTCTATTTTGATAATATTAAAAGAAATATAAAAACTAAAAAAGTGGAGAAGTAACAGCCAACTGCTAAAATAAATTGAAAAGAAAAAAAAGTGAAGAAAAATTCCTCTATTTTGATAATATTAAAAGAAATATAAAAACGAGGTGGAGACTCTTTCACCTCCTTCTTAAAACTGATCTGGCCCTGTGATTTGCTTAAATCAATAACAGGCTGCAGACACTGTGTGACTTTTGGGCATAGCCCTTAATAGGCCTTGGAGCTGCAGTTTTCACTCTTTCAGAGGCCTGAGCCATCCAGCTATTCTGCTAGAGAGAAAAGCTCAGGCAGAACTCAGCCTTTCAGCCACCCGCGCTGAGATGCCACACAGTCATGTGATGCCATCTTGGCCTTTCCAGCTGCTGCTGGTCTGCTCAAGCCAACAGCACATGGAGCAGAGACTAGCTGTCCCTGCAAAGCTTTGGGGTGGTAGAGCAGGGGGCAGCGTCAAATCCCCAGAAGGGGCTCAATGAATATTTGTCTCTTCTCATTTCGGCTCATGGGGTACACCATGTAAGACTTTCCAGTGGCTTCCCACCACCCTCAGAGCTCTGGCCAGGGCCCACAAGGCCCCCACCCCACACCCCTTTCCTCTTTGTCACCTCCTCCTCCTATTCCACTTGAGGTGAGGGAGCACCTCACCTTGGCCGTTACTGCTTTCCTTGAACAGGCCAGGTATATCCCCCTGCAGTCTTTGGCCTTTCTTTTCTCTTTGCTCTTCCCCAGATGCCCGCAGGGCCACTCCCTCACCTCCTTTAAACTTCACTCAAATGCCATCTTCCTTTTGAGACCTCATTCCTTCCCTAGCCAGCCTGTCTGAAATTGTAACCCCTCATTCTCTATCCCTATTCTCTGCTTTTACTTTTCTCTTTAGCATTTATCAATGTCTAATTTAGTATTTAATTTTACTAGTTTATCTCACTTATTTTCTGTCTCTCCTTTAAGCTCCATGAGAGATTTTTGTCTGTCCTGTTTATCTGTTGATCTCCAGCGTCTAGCGCACAGGGCACATAGTAGGCTCTTTGATATATGTATTATCTGTAGAATGAATGGATGAAACGTCACCTTGTCATAGAGGACCTCCCTGAGCACACTATGTTAAATGCCAATTTCATTTCCTTTCCCAGCTTTATTTTTCTTCACGACAGTTTGACAGGTATTTGTTTACTGTCTCTCTCCCCAGTAGAGTGAAAGTTCCTTTAACAGTGAGGAATTAAGTCTGTTTTAATCCCAAGACTCTGTGCGGGGTGGGCGGAGGAGGTACATGATAGGGCCTCAGTAATATTTGCAGAATGAATTAATTTCTTGAGCGAATGCATGAATGAATCTAGCAGGCAGTTTTCCAAGCAGCTGAAGTTGGGCTCCAACAGCGCTAAGGCGCCTTCGTGATAGACTAATTGCGGGGGTATCCGCGGGCGTGCACCTTCTCCGGAGGCGAAGGTCTGACAGCTGGGGTTGGGTTTCAGCAGCGCCCTTAAGCCAGCTGCAGACGCTCTGCTGCCGGCGCTTGTTCCAGCTCGGCCGGACCTGGCATTGCCGGTTTAACCCGAGTCTGGCCAGTGAACTGATTTCCGGGGCGGTGTCATTGCCCAGTTAAGAGAGGCGCGCCCCGCCCTCGGGGGCGGAGCTCGGAGGGGGCTTTAAGGGGAGGGCCCGCCGGCGGCCGGGGTCCTTCGGGGATTAGCGCGGGGTGGGCTCGCGCTGCAGGCCGCCATTTCTCGGAGTCCTCCGAAGAGCCGCCCCCTCCTCAGCCTCGCTCAGGACCTCTTCCTGCTGGCCGCCGGTGCTCCGCGCCCCCTTTGCCGTCGCGCCGCCGTCTCCAACCCAGGTAAGCGCGAGGCCCGGCGGCCCCGGTCGCACAGCCGGCTGTTCTCACGGCTGCGCGGACCCCTCCTTGCCCGCGCCGGGTCTGGCGGCTTCGCCCCCAGGAGGAGGGCGGGGCAGCGCGGGGACCCTCGGGCCCAGTATTTAGCCCGCCGGAGGGAGGGGCGGCGGCGGCTAATGGGGCAGGCCCGCTGAGTTTCGGGAGATACCTCGCCGCGCCGCCGGAGCGGATCTCAATAAAGCTGTTTTTTAAAAAAGTGGAGAAGTAACAGCCAACTGCTAAAATAAATTGAAAAGAAAAAAAAGTGAAGAAAAATTCCTCTATTTTGATAATATTAAAAGAAATATAAAAACGAGGTGGAGACTCTTTCACCTCCTTCTTAAAACTGATCTGGCCCTGTGATTTGCTTAAATCAATAACAGGCTGCAGACACTGTGTGACTTTTGGGCATAGCCCTTAATAGGCCTTGGAGCTGCAGTTTTCACTCTTTCAGAGGCCTGAGCCATCCAGCTATTCTGCTAGAGAGAAAAGCTCAGGCAGAACTCAGCCTTTCAGCCACCCGCGCTGAGATGCCACACAGTCATGTGATGCCATCTTGGCCTTTCCAGCTGCTGCTGGTCTGCTCAAGCCAACAGCACATGGAGCAGAGACTAGCTGTCCCTGCAAAGCTTTGGGGTGGTAGAGCAGGGGGCAGCGTCAAATCCCCAGAAGGGGCTCAATGAATATTTGTCTCTTCTCATTTCGGCTCATGGGGTACACCATGTAAGACTTTCCAGTGGCTTCCCACCACCCTCAGAGCTCTGGCCAGGGCCCACAAGGCCCCCACCCCACACCCCTTTCCTCTTTGTCACCTCCTCCTCCTATTCCACTTGAGGTGAGGGAGCACCTCACCTTGGCCGTTACGCAGCCGGGGTCGCGGGCGTCGTGGGAGGGCCGTTGGGCTCCCTTCACCCGCCCGTCGGCGTGGTAGCCGTCCAGCTGGCGAGGTGAAAGCGGTGGGTACAGGGGAAAACACCTTGAATTTGTGCCACGGTCTTAAAACAAAAGCTCGAATGGGTCTTTCAGGCTCTTGCAATTGAGCAAAACTTCAGCCACTTGGAAATAGTGAGAGGAAGGTGTGTTCCCTGGAATGACGAGGTCTAAAGGACCCTCCCCGCTCCCCCGTGGCGTTTGTCTCGTTAATGATGGGTTTTTTTGGCGTGTAGACGTTAATTTGTGTTTGTTTCTGTGTTTATGGGTACTTAGTTTCATGAATTCTGCTTAAGAGCAAGAAACCCAGCTCTTTTAAACCGTCTGGCAATGTTTTAATCTAATATTAAAAGTGTTTTTTTTTAATAATTAGGAAAAAAAAATACTCCGAACTACATTTCTAATGTAACTCTATAGTCTATTAACTCCATTTCTAAGTAACTAACCCGTTGCTGAGCTCAGCTTACCATAGTGGATAATTTGTACGTATGAGGGGTCTTCAAAAAGTTCATGAAAAGATTCGTATTATCTTTCAATTCCATTTTCCACTAACTTTTTGAAGTACTTTCGTATAAGATAGTTTGCAGCGTTTTTTCTTTTTGAGTTAACTTCATTAGAAAATGATATGTATAGGGCCGGCCCGGTGGCCCACTGGATAGTGCGCCGCTTGGGAAGCGCGGCAGCGCCCCCCCCCAAGGGGTCGGATACCACGTACAGACCCGTTCCCGCCCCCCGG